CACGAAGAGTCGGATATTACTTAACGACTAAACAACAACAACAACCAGTAGATCTCCCCTCACACCCCCTTCCCCTGATGATCCTGTCCAGGCCTGTTGTGAATTCCAGTCCAAGAGGTTCTGGACAGTTGCATGTTGCCAGTTCCTTTTGATAGAGAATGGGGTTTAAAGAAAGAAAGGTAGTTGTCTTTATATTTGCGTAAATGTAGGTCGTTGTCGCGTAAATGTTATTTGCGGAACAGTGAAGTGACAGGAGCCCAATGCAGTGTTTGTACCTACAGTTAAAATTGATGTATAGCGGAAAATCTGCACATGTGTAACAGTCGTGATAGCCAGTAGAATCCAAAAAAATGCAGGCGGGTAGATTGATCTGTAGGAACAAACAGAGAGCAGGTCTTTTTTAAGGTTAACGGCTATAGATTGTGCATTTGAAACCAAATCATTCTCTTGGCTTTGCATTACAACAGGGACTGCTTGCAATAATAAACCTCTTCTCGAAAAATCCATATCTTTCCCAGCTACTTATGAATATTGCTGCAAAGCGTACAAGCGGCAGGGGAATTGGGGGGCACAGACAGATTTCATATTCCTTGCTAACGAGAAAGCCCTGGGGTTGGACCCTGTGAGTCCTGGCTTCCTTATATTGACTGGGTTAAAGAGTAGGTGAAAACTTCTCTGTCATTAAAGTAGGCTGATAAGCATTAACCATTGTGCACCAGGAGTGGGTCAGCCCCATGGCAGATGAAAAGAAATTTTTTTAAGAATCCCTGGAAAAAAAGGAATTAAAATTTCAACAGGAGCTTCTCTCTCCTCTTGCTAGATATTTCTGAAAGCAGTACTTGAGATTTACTTAAGACATTTTTTTTAAAAAAAAAATACACTCTTCCTTTAAATAGTCAGGGTAGGTGATGCGTCTGTCTTTTTCTCTTTTAGCCCCATAATGACCTTGCAAGACTGAAAAGAATCAATTTCCCTCAATGAAGCTCATGGCTGAGCAGAAATTTGGACATATTCAGCCCCCCCAAAAAGAGGAAACAGATGATTTGCATAATCTGATTTTTAGATGCACTTGTTGAAATGAGGAGCATAATTAAATTTGGGACTGCTCAGGCTGTACCGCCTCCTTAGGATGAAACCAGAAGGTGGCGAATGGGGACGTCTTGCTCCATAAACTCAATTTTTCACTTTTAAAAGTCCAGGGGAACCCATGCAAAGAGATGTGAGTGTGAATCGTGCTAGTTGGAGAGCATCGTTATGCAAAATATATATACTGTATTATGACGGTTGTTCTTTTTTAGTTTATTATATTCTTTTTATTTTATCTATTATTGCCAGCCGCCCAGAGTAGATTTTGGTCGAGATGGGCGGAGTAGAAATTTAATAGATAAGTAAATAATTCTTTATTTTATTCGACAAAATTGATGGGAGGGTTTGCAGGGGCTTCTGGGTTGCCTCCTCCCTTAGACCCTCCTTGAATCGGGAGTGCAATGCCAGTTTTCATTTTTGCGGCTGAGATGCTTCTCACTGTTGTTGGCAGCAGAGGTGGGTATGCAGATGTGCTTTTGTTTGGGCTGACGATCTCATCATCCTCCATTCCAGGAGATCCACCTGCTAGACCTCTAAGTGGTGCTCCTCTGGGGGATGACTGAGCTGGAAGGGGGACTGGGATAGGGAAAAGCAGAGGTTGGCCCTACAGTTGTGCCCTGCTTGACGATTACCCCGTTTAACAATGAATCCACTTCACAAAGCTATTTTTGTGATTGCAAAAGCGATCGCAAAACAATGTATGAATGGGGTTTTTTGGCTTAGCGATGATCGGTTCCCTGCTTCGGGAACCGATTTTTCACTAAACAATGTTTTTTCAACAACTGATTGGCGGTTTTTAAAATGGCTGCCGGCTCTCAAAAAGGCCCCCCACTGTTTTTAGGAGGCATTTTTCGCAAGACAGGCACTGGAAAATGGCTGCCCTATGGAGGATCTTTGCTTTACAATGAGGTATTTCACCCATTAGAACGCATTAGCCGGTTTCTAATGCATTCTAATAGGCTTTTTAATTTCGCTTGATGAGGATTTCGCTTAACAGCAATTTCAACGGCACGGATTATCCTCATCAAGCGAGGCACCACTGTAGTTGGAAACGAAAGCTCCCCCTAGTGGTTGCTGAAAACTCTCAATACCAGCAGCCCCAGCTTCCTTTTCCAACAGGAAACTAGGCCCCTACGTAACCCATGAGGCCGTCCAGCTCAGCCTTCTTCCAGGTGAGCACAATCCAGATGTCTGTTTGGCAGGTGGAGCTCTTAGAAGGGATAAGTCTGGGATTAAAAGTCTGGAGAGTATTGGATGCATACACCTAAACCCGTGTTGCTAGGGAGGTAAATCCACGCCAGCTTTTAGTCTGATCCTTACGCATGCTCTTTCTTTACAAGGCAGTGGACTCCTTTCCCCCAGCATAGATTTAGTACATTGGATGCCACTTTTAAAGTTTGGATTAAAACCCAGAACGGGTTCACAGGTCCTCTGTAAGCTGTGAATGGAAATCACCGGCCTCACAGGCCACTTCAAGACCCCTGGACTCTCTTTTTATCTTAAACCTGACACAGACTGGATAGCCCTTAAAATACAGGACATTTTCAAATGGAGAATTGTTCTCTGGCAGCTCTCCAAACAGAGGCATGGCCACTGGAAAGGAGGATGGAAGACTAGCCTACACGTGGACTCAGACCTCACTCCTTCATTGTAACTAACTGAGGATGATGTTTCCTAAGTCTCATGAGGCTAACATGCCTCTGTTTAGAAAAGGAAAGGAAGTACTGTACCATGCTTCTCTGGCCTTTCAGGGAAGGAGACATATCTTAGCCAGAAAATATTAGTGTGACAGAGATGGCTCCAAAACCTTGATGCTCACCTCCATCTGTTTCCATCTATCTCCAGGCTGTTCACTGACTCAGCAAGAAGTTGTGCGTGCATGCATGCATGCATGCATATGTGTTTGTGTATGTGTTGCTTCAGATCATGGGACACACTCCCCAGCTGTCTCCCCAGCATTCTTACCCTTCCTTCTGAATTCTTGGTGCACCAATGATGGACTCATTGTGCCACTTGTTGGAAGGCAGGGAGTGGAGCAACAGCATGAGGGCTCACAAGCCTTCTTGTCGCATCAGCCCATTGAAGCAGCAGCAATCCACGGCCATAGGGCTGCTGCTTCCCAAGAAGCAATGTGTCTTGGAGTTCATTGGCCTCCTCTCCCCTCTCTGACACCACGAAGGGTCAGTCCCCTAATCTCTTGTTTTGGCCCTGTGAGGTACCCCCAGAAACAGGAAGAGATCATTCTTCCTGCCCTCTTCCTGTGTCGTTCTGACGGCTACCGTGCTTCTCTCTGTTCCAGATCGACACCCTGCAGACTGTGCTGCTCTGTCCGAATGTGCTCATCTGTGTGGGTCAAGAGTCCTTCAAGCCCATCATGAGGGAAAACTCCAGGAAGCAGTCCTCTTTGGACAAACTGCCTGGGCTGACGTCACACTCCAGCAGCAACAACGTCAGTGAGAACAATGAAAGTAAGAATGATGATGGCAGGCCTCTACCTTTGGGTTGGTCCTGTGTGCTATGTGTGGCAAAGGGGAACGTTGCGTTGCGTGGCCTGCCTTGGACTCCTTGGCTTCTTGCAGATCTGCAAGCGTTTCTGTTTATTCTTCATGGTAGTGAAGCAAACCTCCATTACCTATTAGGCTGCAAGATAAATATGGATGGGAATATTTTTGGACTACAGACACCATCATTCTCCATTCTGGGAGTTCTACACTTTGCAGACCCCTTAATGACTTCTAAATGTTCTCACTTGGAGAGAAGGGCCTAAATCCTCAATTTGATGCACCTTGGAGAAAATTTTACATTGAAAAAGCTTAACTGGGCCTAGCTCTGCCCAAGCTTCCTGTTCCTGCCCCAGTGCTAGCTGGGAGCTTTCCCTCTGAGCAGGAAGCTAGGCAGAGCTAGGCCTAGTTAAATCTCAAAGCCTTCCAGTTGAGGCTTTTCCCCCAAGTGCATCAAACTGAGGCGTTTGTAAGGTCTCTGTGAAGCAGGTCGATCTCCCAGAATGGAGAATTGTTTATGTATTTGATATATATTTTATCCCACCTTTCTCCTTAAAAAAGGATCCAGGGTGGCTTTACCTCATTAAAAACACAATATTAAAAGCTAAAAATGGTGAATTATTCAAATATTAAAGAAGAATTAATAACATTATATTAAAAAAGTCAGGTTAAAAATCAATACTGAAAACAGTTTTAGAAGCAGCAAAATATAAAGCATCCCATTTATTGTTTCCTGGACAGTCAGTCACTAACGAAAAATTGCCTGAAGAGAAAGGTTTTGGCCTGCTGGCGGAAGGACAGCAAAGACGGGGCCAGGCTGGCCTCCAGTGGGAAGGAGTTCCAAAGTTTGGGAGCAGACACAGAGAAGGCTCTCTCCCATATTCTCACCTTTGAGAATGGTGGGACTGAGAGAAAGGCTTTCCCTGATGATCTTAATGCCCAGGCACTACAACTCCCAGAATTCCCCAAGCAGCATAGCTTTGATGGAAGGGGTAGCAGAGTAAATTACAAGTGAAAATTCCTACCTCTGGAAGCATCCATGGGGAGCAGTTTTAAACCATGAGCAGGCCTCCCAAACACTTTTTGAAAGGTTTTAAAATACAGTGGTGCCTCGCTTGATGACGATAATCTGTTCCAGTGTAATCGCTGTAGAGCGAAATTGTCGTCAAGCGAAATACAAAAAGCCAATTGGAATGCATTGAAAAGCATCCAGCGAAGATCCTCCATAGGGGGCCATTTTCCAGTGCCTGTCTTGCGAAATGAGGTCCGGGAAACAGTGGGCGGCCATTTTGAGAGCTGCCGATCAGCTGTTTCTAAATCATCGTGTAGTGAAAAATCGGTTCCCGAAGCAGGGAATTGATCATTGTATGGCAAAAAAAAGCCCATAGATGCATCGTTTTGTGATCGCGATAATGATCGCAAAAAAACCCCATCATACAGCAAAAAAACCGTCATGTCTGGTAAGTGTCTAGCGAGGCACCACTCTACACATTTTTAGAAGCAGGAATGGATTCGCCATCTATTCCAATTTTTTCTGCCTTTCCCATTTTAAAAAAATCTTTTGCGTTGATGCGGTGGCCTGGTAAGCTTCGAGAATGAGACATTAGTGCCTGGATCCCAACACTCTACCCATCTTTGATTTATATCAGGGCTGGGCAAAGTGCAAGACTCTAGATGTCTTTGAAGTTTGGACTTCAGCCCCCAATATCAATAGAATCATAGAATCACGGAGTTGGAAGGGGCCTCTAAGGCCATCCAGTCCAACCTCCTGTTCAGTGGAGGAATCCAAATCAAAGTAGATCAGGAAGATGGTTGTCCTATTTTCTCTTGAACGCCTCCATCATTGGAGCACTCACCAGCTCTCCTTGAGGTCATGGGTTCTGTTGTTGTACTTCTCTAACAGTTACATAGGATGTTTCTTTAGGCCTGATTATGGCTGCTACTGGTTGGCACCTCAACCACATCTGGAAATCTGTGCTTTGCCTTGCTCTGGCTGAAAGCATGCGCCCAAGCACTGAGATAGAACTTACTGCTTTCTACGTCTGCAGGCAAACTCTGACTCTTTGTCTTCTTCTGTTTCCTTCTTCTTTCCCCTTTTCCTCACTTGCGGACCACAGTGGACTTTGGACTGAAAGCCAAAAAGAGCGTGATTCACCCGAGATCGTCCCTGAGCAATCGATCCGCCAGGTTATCCTTATCGTCAGAAAAATCCTACCCCAACGGGCTGACATCCTCGGAGAACGGGGCTCCCTCCGTGCACAGTTATGTCCGCCCTAAAGGAGGGGATCTGGTCCACGACGACATTGAAAAGAAGGTCCACGTGAACAAAGACGGCAGTTTATCGGTTGAGATGAAGGTCCGCTTCCGCCTGATCAATGATGAAACTCTCCAGTGGTCCACCCAGATCAAGAAGTCTAGCTTGATGAACAAGGTTCTCTGCGAAGAGCCGGCCACGAGCGAAGACCATGGAGTGGAACCGATGGAGAACCCAGAGGCTAGTTCTGAGATGGATGATTCTTTGTATCCCTGTGATGCCGACTCTTACGTTTCGAACCTCGACGAATCGGAAAGCGAGGAGCCTCGTTGCCACAACTGCGGCAAACTGTGCAAAACGTACGACATCTGGAAAAACCCCATGCTCGCTTCTCAAAAGGAGGAGCCCGGGGCAAGGAACGCCTGGCACACCCACTCCTCCTGCTCCAGCACGTCCTCACGTCGAAGGATAGTCCGGAAAAAGGTAGCCTCCGTCGACAGCATCCGCACCTCTTCCAGCGGAGAGGAGTACACGAAGCACGTCGTACGGGAATCGGCCCATTATACAGAGACCGTAGAAAACACCGTGGAGTACCATTCGCTGAAAAAATGCAGCTGTCCTTGTGATTCTCTCCAGGCTGACCCAAGGCAAAGTGGATCGCCGGGGGAAAGAGATGCTATAGGTAGCTCGGCCAATTCGCAGAAGGACGATGATGGCATTGCGGTGGAGGGAGAAGCCCAGGAAAGCCAAGGAAGTAGGCCAGGCAGTAGCAAATCTAAAGCATCTCAATGTTCTGTAGAAAGCCAGATACAGATCTGTGAGGAAGCATGCAGTGTGGAACGGACCATTTCATCCTCTAGCATCAAGGAAAGGAAAGACCTAGAAGACATTCTAGATGGCTCTTCTTCTCCGCACAGCATCTACAGCCGATCTAGTAAGTGTAGCACTCCGGACGGATTGAAGGACCACCTAGATGAGGTTTCGGAGAACGACCAGGTGATCTCTTCTTTCTCAACGGATTCGTGCCCTAAGAATGACGCCACAGAGGGAGATGCTGAAAGGGAAGAATCGGATATCAACGAAGCCTATTCTGTCTCAGAGAAGGCAGCATCCGCCAAGGATGACGTCAGTGAGAGTGAAAGATGTTCTACAGGAAGGTCCTTCTGCTCCAAATCCTGTGACGGAGACAGCAGACGGAGCAACAGCAACGAAGTACCGGCCTGCAGCGCTGCCTCCTCTTCCTCCAGAACTTCGCGGAGAAGCAAACACAGCCAGAATCACCTGGACGCGGGTTCAAATCTGTCTTCCGGGTCACATCGAAGGTCTAATACCAAGAAGAAGCAAACCAAGAGTTCTCTGCATGCAGAAGATGCCAGATCAAGCAGCAGGACCTCTTGCTATTCCAGAAGTTCGCACGAAGCGGAGAAAAGGGACTCGGGACGTCACGCCTCTCACAAATCCAGCACTCCTCATTCCAATGCATCCTCTTTCAGTGAAATGGCAGCACCTCCAGCCACCAACGAGGAAAGCGTGAGCAGCACTTCCAAATGTTATAGCCGGTCCACCAGGAGCAGCCAGAAGGGAGTCCAGCCCGATGGGAGCAGCCATACAATCTCTCCTTGTTCCAGCTTCTCGGATAGTGGTGGGGAAAATGGATGCCCAGCGGGCAAAGTTAGTTCCGAGTCAGACTCTTCAAGACTGAGAAATTTCTCTGAATCCACCTGCTCCAAATGCGGTCAGGGTGCAGAAACCTGGCCGGATGATCTTCAGAGCGTTAGTTCAAGGATCTCTTCACATTCCGTGGTCAGGAGCCGACGGGCAGAGACGGAGGCTTCACGGAGAAGCGATGACGCTTGCTCGCAGTCGAGCGTGGCGCCGTCTTCCAAGCGGAGCCGAAGGAAGACCGGCAACCTCTGTCCAGATGGAGACTGCTCTAGCCAAGCTTCAGCGTCAGCCTCGGCCTCTGTGTACAGTCTGCGCTGCCCTGCGCCTCCTAAGGGGAGGCCGAGCAGCAGAAAAAGTCAGTCCGTGCAGCTGAAGAAGAATCACAGTGCCAGTGCCTGTACCGAATTGGAGCCAGCGGCAGACATGGGGCAGAAAGAAACAGCTGGCTCGCAGTCCCCTGAGACCGATGTGATGAACGGGATAGGTGATCTGTCTGATCGCTCGAATAAGGAGGAGACAGCTTGCCCAGAGAAGGCCCAAGAAGAGCCAGAAACAGAAGCTGCTGCAGAGGGTGACGAAGGGGTCATCCCGTCTTCTCTTCCCAACACCTCTCCGGAGGATGTTGTCCAGGAGTGGCTGCGGAAAATTCCTTCGGATGCTCTGCTGATGAAATGTGAAATGCAGGACGACGGGGAGGGTGCGGAACTCGATGCCGAACTACCGAGTTGCTCCAGCCACCAGGAGGCGTTGCAAGGTGGGTCAGAAGAGAAGAAAGAAGAAGAAGAAGAGAAAGAAGGCAAAGATCCAGCAGCCGTGGAAGCGGCTGGCGGTGAAGCAGATCAAGAGGTAGAGGAAGTGGGGGCTGTCGAAGAGGAGGCTCAAGAAGAGGAGCCCGAGGAGGAGAAGTCTTCTGAAGTGGCTGCCGAGAAAGAGGCTGAATCCAGCCAAGCTGGATGCAAACTTTCTGCCCTCTCCAGTCAGAATAACCATAAAAAGGACTTGCCGGACACCATTCAGACTTCCGTACAAATCATGAAGGCTCTACTGGCTTCCAAGCAGGAAGCCAAACTGGACCGTTCCCATAGTTTGCCCGAGGTGTCCCCAACCATGGGGAGAAAACTCAGCCACTCCGCCAATATTTTGATCACCTGCCTTGCCAGCCTTCAGCTCCTGGACGAAGAGCTCGACTCGACCGGGAAGTCAAACAAAGGCCTGAACAGACCCCTCTATACGGAGCTCTTGAATATCTTCCAAGCCCTCTGGTTCGAATCCGCCTCCGAAAAAGGGGCTACCAGCTCAGGTTTACAAGAGGAGGACCAGGCGAAAGTACCGTCAAGCTACAAAGGCCGTAATTCGAAAGACGGTGACTTCACACCGATGTCGTCTTCAGGGGTCGATGTGAGTAGCGGCGATGGAGGTTCAGGAGAGGGGAGCACGGCGGGTGCCCAGGACTGTGCCTTATCAGCAGAGAAAATGGATGAAGCCAAACCCACTGAAGGGGAAGAAGATGAAGAAGATGGCGGAGAAGCAGGAACGGCAGAGGAAGAAGCTGAGAACAAGGAAGTGGAGGATCATTCTTCTCAGCCACTGACCCCTTGCTCAGCCTCTGAAGCAGGAGAAAAAGTAGAATCTGATGGAGGAGAAGAGGAGAGTCAAGGCAGTCCGTGTGAAATACAACAGGAGGAAGAAAAAGAAATGGCTGGAGGAGAAGAAGTAGAAGAGGACAGCAAGCAAGATGAAAACACTGAGGGTGATGAAATGGTCGCTGATGCAGAGACTGTCCAAGGGGAAACCGAAGAAGACACCGTTGTCAAGGGAGGAGAACGCGAACCGACTCCCGAAAATGCTGAAGAAGCCACTGAAGATCCAATCGACCACGAAGCCGAAGCAACCGCTGCTGAGGGTAAAAATGAAGAAGAGCCTCCAGAAAATGGAGCAAAGGAGCTTGTGGACAAGCCCCACGCGGATACGCAACCCGACGATGTCGTCGCTCATCAGCCGTTAGGGAAAGTTGCCCCCCTCATCCAACAGCGGTCCCTCGACCCCGACCCCATGTGGGTGCTCAGGCTTTTGAAGAAGATCGAGAAGGAGTTCATGACTCACTACGTCAGTGCCATGAACGAGCTCAAAGTGAAGTGGAACCTGCCCGACACTGAGGAGGTGGACAATATGATTTCCGAGGTGAAAGACGAGGTGAGCAAGAGGATAAAGAGGAGTATAGAGAAAGAGCTGATGAAAATCAGAAGCAGGGCAGGGCAGAGAGTTCCCAGGCCACCCGACCACATGCAACGGGAATCCACGTTGCAGGTGGAAAACCGAAGACGGCGCCTGCAAAGCATTCATAAAATGTCACTCTATAACGACCGGAATGCAAACCAGAGTAAACAGCTAGAGGCGAGGGATGTCTCTGGCGACGTCGATGAAGGTTCCCTTTTTAGTACAATTAGGGATGATGACAGCGACCAACCAAGTGAAGAGGAGTATTGTCCTTGTGATGCCTGTATCAGGAAGAAGCTGGTGGCCAGGGCCACACGCACCCCAGTCATGGTGGCCACCAATGCCCCCGTGGTGAAGGCTTTTGACCTCCAGCAGATCCTGAGGTTGAATAAGACCAATGTCCCCCAAAAGTCATTAGAACGTGAGATTGCTGAAAAGGCTCAGGAGGAAGATCCTCAACAAGCAGAAGGGGAAGCTGCTGAACCTGAGGCGAATCCGGAAACAGGACTGGTTGAGGAAGGAGAGGCAGGGGAGACCAAAGAACAGGAAGTGACGGAAGAAAAGGAAGTTGTGGAAGAACAGGAGGTGAAGGAGGAGGAAGCTGGCACTCTCAGGGAAGACGGGGTTGAACGTGAGGAGAGTGAGGAAGCAGAGAGAGAATCGGCAGCAAACGAAGAAGGAGCAGAAGAAGCAAAAGAGGAAATGGGAGAGGAGGAAGAAAAGGAGGAGGAGGAAGCAAAGGAAGAAGAAGAGGAAATGAAGGAAGGAAAAGAGGAGGAAGTGGTGGAAGAAGGTGATGTAGAGGAAGCAAAGGAGGAAGAAGAAGCAAAGGAGGAAATGGGAGAGGAGAAAGAAAAGGAGGAGGAGGAAGCAACGGAGGAAATGGGAGAGGAGGAAGAAAAGGAGGAGGAGGAAGAAAAGGAGGAAGGAGAGGAAGAGGTGGTAACAAAAGAAGGAGAAGAGGAGGAGGAAGGTGATGTAGAAAAGGAGGAGGAGGAGGAAGAGGCAGCAAAGGAGGAAGTAGAACAAGGAAAGGAAGAGGATGTGGAAGAGAAAGTAGATGTGGAAGAGCAAGAAAAGGAGGAGTCTGCAGAACAGAAAGAAGAAGAAGAAAACAAAGAAGTCAAGGAAGAAGAGAGGAGTCTGCAGAACAGGAAGAAGAAGAAGAAAACAAAGAAGTCAAGGAAGAAGAAGAGAATGTAGAAGGAGGAGAGGAGGAGGAAGAAACAAAAGAAGAAGAGGGAGGAGAGGAGGAACAGCCTGTAGAGGAGGAGGAAGAAAAGGAGGAAATAGAAAAAGAAATGGAGGAGGGAGAAGGTGAGGAACAAGAAGATGGTGCTCATGAGCAAGATAATCAAGAAGAGGAAACCAAAAGTGAAGAAGAAGGGAATGAGAAAGAAGAAGGCGTGGATGAAGGACAAGAAGAAACACAGAAAGAAGACGGTGAGGAAGGAGCCCGAGGGGAAGATGAAACTGAAAGTTCAGCAGCAGGCCCAGAAGCTGAGGAAGCTGAATCTGAAGCGGAAGGAGAGAGCCAAAGGGATGCCTCTGAATGTGCAGAAAATGCTGATGGGGTTGAGGATTCAGAAACAGAAGCTGCAAGAGAAGAGAATGGAGGTGAAGGAGATGCCCAGGCCAGCGATGGAGAAGAGGCTGGGAACGACGCCGGTCCCGAAGCTGACGGCGAACCTTGTTCAGAAACAGCAGAAGAGGAAGGGGAAGGTGAAAACAACGGAGGAGAGGAAGCGGAAGCTGGTGCAGAAGACGCCAGGGAAGAAGAGAGCGTTGAACCTGCGCAGGCCACCCCTGGAGATGAAGAAGACCCTCCAACAGCAACAGAAGAAGGCGAAGCCGACGAGATCCTACGGAATCCCCGAAAAGGCTCTGCAATCTCTTCCATGGGGAATTTCTCACAGCAGTCCCAGAAAGGCTCTGAGGAAGCCAATGATGGCGAAGACGGTCGGGACGAGGAGAATGCGGCAGAGGGCAGTAATGGGGAGGCTAAAACGGACTCAGGCAGTAAGCCAGAAAAGATGTACCCTGACAGTGAGGAGGAGGAGGAGGAGGAGGAAAAAGGGGAGGAAGGCCGAGCTTCCTGTCCAGCAAGTGCTGGGAACGGAACGGAACCCAAACCAGATGAAACTGGAGATGGCGGCAGCCAAGCATCAAAAACCAAGGTTGGGGCTATCGATCAGGACGATCTGGACTTTTAAGACAAAGGAGGAAGGCCGAGCTTCCCATCCAGCAAGTGCTGGGAACGGAATGGAAGCCAAACCAGGCGAAACTGTAGATGGCAGCAGCCAAGCCTCAAAAACCAAGGTTGGGGCTATTGATCAGGACGATCTGGACTTTTAAGACAAAAAACTCTGGGACCACTTGAAGGATGTGATTTTCTTGGCTACCAATTCAGGCTTTGTTTTTGTTTTTTAAGCACACCCATGTTTTTATATTTCTGTTTGTTTTCAGTATTAATTCTTCGTGTACCTGACTATAAACCTTCTCATTTTCAGAGGGTTGAGCCACTTGTCGGAGAGATTTTCCGTGTCAGAACTATTTTTCTTTTGAGACCAGAGAGGGTGGCTCTCTTCCTCCCAAAACATCCTCCAATTCGCATGCTTCCGGACGCCCACCTGTCCCGAGAAGGTACCAGGCTGCCTGCTCACCTTCATAGAGACACCACAGAACTCATGCCAACATCCATGGTCCTGTTGAACCCTCCACAAGAAGTCTCATGTGGATAGCACATGCCTGGCGAATGGCAAGCTTCAGACCTTGGTCGTCTCGAGGAATTGCCTGAAAATTCAAAACGGAGAGATGTTGTACGTTAAAGAAAGGCTGAGCGACTCGGAAAGACAGACATTTGCCCTTTCTAGTAGAGGTCATTTCAGAATCAGAAATGCCCCAAATTTAGGGGGGACTATCAAAACAAGAAGTCACAGGACATCCACTTCTAGTTTGGGGTTTTATTAATATTATTATTATTCAGGATGTTTTGTGGTAGCAGGGGGACTGTGATCCCCTCAGTTCAAAAACTGTTACTCCTGGGTATCTCCAAGATCAAAAGGAGAGGGGAAAAGACCTATTTTCTTAAAAAGGGGTTGAGTGGAGAGGCAGGAAATTGGCCTTCAGAGGTCACCCATGACTTTTTCTCATCCTTGGGTTACTGCATGTTGCCAGATCTGCACTTTGAATGAATTTTCCTGTGTTTACCCCCACCTGTCTGACAATTGTGAATGTAAAGGAGGGCTTTTTACAAAGTTAATCTGTATCAACCTGCATGAAGTGGTCAGCTAGGAAGGTTCTTGGGGATTTCGGTTCAAGAATATCTGGGGACCCAAGGTTGGGAACCAATAGCATAAACAATGCTAAAGAGGGAGTAAGTCCCCTGAATACATGGAACGTACTTCTGTGTAAACATGTGCAGGATTCTGAGACGTCTAACGATGCTTCAGATAACTTGAGTCTCAGGGTCAAATGTGACACGAAAAGAGCGATCATCTTTCCTGCTCTGATGATGGAATTTCTTCTAGGCTGACCCTCAGCTATGCTACTCCGAGATTAAGTTCTCGCACCACAGTGTAAAAAAGATATTAAAGTGGAATGCATTCAGAGTAGGGAAGCCAAGATGTGGAGGGGTGTGGAGACCCAGTCAAATGAGGAAAGGTTGAATTATCGTATATTTCACATTTTTTTTAAAAAAAAATCTATATTCTCTCTTTTTTTCTTTTTGGCCCACTGTGGGTCTTAAAACATTGTGCAATAGACAGATTAAAATGACTTAAAACAGTTTTAAAGTGTTATTTAAAGCGTATTTCAGCCTCCTGGGAGACCCATTTTAAGAACCAAGCTTAAACATCAAAGGTCTTTCAGAACCATAGGCAGAAGGGCCACAAAATAAGCTGAGCCTCAAGAGAAGATGACTAAGAGGGCGGAGGGGTATCCATTGGCCATCTCCAAATATTTGGAGGCTGGTAACATGGAGCAAATTCATTTTTTGTTACTCCATAAGATGGAATTTGCAGCGATGGATTCAAAGGACAAGAAAAGAGACAGATACATCATTGTTTGGGACAATTTTCCTGGTGGTACAAACTGTTCAACCGTTGTAAAAGTCTGCTTTGACAGGGACTTTTCTCTCCTTCATCAAGAGATTTTCCAAGAGAGGCTAAATGGCCCCTTATCAAACTTTGCCGTGGATCCTCTGCCTCAAAGGGAGTCGGGTTAGATCCTCTGTCAGGTTTCTTCCAGCCCCGGTGACCCTACGAGGTCTACTCCTGATGTAGGCGTGTAGCCATGAGAACCTCCACCTGTCAAGGAGGTACAGGTTGGCTACCTGAGTGAAAATGAAGCCTACAACCCAACGCTTATTTAGTGCCAACTGCAGGTAGTCTGAGAGTCCTTGCCCAAGAAGTCTATTTGAGAAGGACTCCCCGTGGACGTTGAGCCAGGACAAAGGTTTGATGCCTGTGTAATGAGCTAGTCTGAGAGCCTTAGAGGTGACATGAGGACTCTTCCAGATGATGATGATGATGAAGCTACAGTTTCACTTCCACACATCATTGCAACTGAGCAAATATTTGACTGCTCAAGTGGTCACGTGGCACATTTAGATTTCAGTGGATGCATACCAGCTACAGACTTGATGGCGAAACATGGCTGGCTGCATGCATGTAGAGTAGGAAACACCCCCCCCCATCTGCTGGATCAGTATCTGTGGATTCACGTATCCACTGCCTGGAAATATTAAATTAAAAACCCACAGAAATATGTGTTTATATGTACAGTATTTCCACTGTGTATTTACCAGAACTAGCCACTAGAAGGAGCCAGAGGACATGCTCTATATTGCATCCGTTTGCAATCCTACAGTATATGCATGCAGAGTTGCCATACATCATAATCGGAGGGTTTTCCAGATAGTTTGGACTTCAGCTCCCCTTAAGTATGGCCAAGTCCCAAGTGTCATGAGGTTTTGTAGTGCAAAACCATCTGGAAGACAATCAGGGTAAGATCTTTTCACCATTGAGGAGGAGATTCTTCTCTGATGGTAAGCCTGTGTGTATGTTAATGAGGAATTTTGGTGGTATGGAATGAGCTATGGACTGTCTCTGACAATCCTGTTCTTTGCACAATGATGCACATCCCTTGAATGAGATAGAGTTAGAGAAGTTCAAGATGCTCTGACTTGGCACAGAAGGGATGCATATTCATAGATGGGGGGGGAATCCCTTTTGTTTGTGTTGGACCTACATGATGCATCTCAGCCCCCCTCTGGGGAATTGTAGTATTCAAGAGACAAAGACAGAAGAAAAAGGACCTCTCTTTTTTTGCACAGCTGTGTAAAATGTCTGCTTGAAGTGGTTTCCCAGCCTGGTGACTGTTTCTTTCTTTTTCTAAAAAAAAAATAGATTTTGCATTAGTC